AAACGAGGATAATAACAGCACCTGCCTTCCAGAATTGCTGTGAGAATTAAATGAGATAATGCTCCTATAGTACTTAGCAGACCATAATGTCCTGTGAAAATGCTAGACGTCTTTGTTGTTATTGAGTGACCCACACCTGGTATGTCTCTGAGTCAGAATTTGAACCCGAGTTTTTCTGGCACCAAGGCAGAGACTCTCTAGAGTGGGATGGAAATCCTGCCTGTGGCGCTCGCTCTTTCTGTGACTCTTTCTATACACTTCACCTCCTTGAGACTCAGTTTGCTCATCTGCCAAATGGGGATAATACTAATTGTACTTCTCTCAGTCCCCACATAGGGTGGTTGTGAGGCTTGGTTGAGATCGTTGATGTAAGACACTTTGGGCTAAGGCGCTTAATAAATATGTATTGACTTCACAAAATATGCATAATCCAGTAACACAATTACTGGCCATTAGCCATGTTCAGAGCTGTATGTCTTGTTTGGAATTGCCAGTGCTGTGTCAGGCGGTCGATGCCATGTTTCATCTGTGGTCCTCTGCAGGGTTTATTATTGATTGCTTAGATTTCTGGGAGCCTGGATGGAGAGATGCAGTGTCTGAGGTCATCCAGCCCAGCTGTCTCATTTACAGACAGACGGGCCCCAGTGAGGTTAAATGATTTATCCCAGGCCTTCCATCTACTAAGTAACAGCTGAGATTTAAAGCCAGTTCTTTTGTTTGCCAGTCCACTACTTCCTTCTCTAAGGGAAGAAAGGGTTAGAGACTGGCAGGAAGAGGACTGCAACCAGTCCTGGGAACTGGTCCCAAGGAGGGGCAGGAGATGGACAGTGTCAGAGCAAAGGAGGCTGTGGGGCAGTGAGGAAGGTGGGCAGCGCCCTGGGTGGGTCAGCTATTGCACCTTGAAGGAACTCAGGTGGATGAGAAAAGGTTTGGCTGTTGCTTAATGACAAACAGCAACAGGGGCNGAAGGGACTGGGTCAGCTATTGCACCTTGCAGGAACTCAGGTGGATGAGAAAAGGTTTGGCTGTTGCTTAATGACAAACAGCAACAGGGGC